CTAAGCTTGGGTTGGATTGGATGTTAAATCGGGTTAAGATGCTGAGCACTTTATGCCCACGAAGCTGAGCTTCACATGTCAAGACCTCCTGGGTGTTTGGCTGCTCCTAGCGCCGCACCAGGATGGTCGTGGAATCAACCGTCACTGACCGTGTCGTGACACATCGGTCAAGAAATCAACGGCAGGTTGTTTTCCTCAGTTCATTAATTCAGTGGATCCACGTGCATTGTATAGTATGTCAACTTTTGCGATGCAAGAATGTACAGATGTTTCAAGTCAGGAGGGGGGAGTTGAAGATTTACGAACAACCTCCATGTAAAGAAGTGTAGCCTGACTATGTAACTTCTGAAGCCTTAAGTACGTCATCGACTTTTGGCTCAAGATGAAAAAGGCGCCGCTGAGCTGTGCCTTCACGTTCAGGGCAGGGTCCTTCTTTTGGGATTTCCCTTCCCTTCCTCTCCTTTCTTACCCTGACATAGCGTTGTATCTGTTTGGGGTCAGAATAACTGAGGCCTCGTGGATTAGCACTGGGAGATCGTACGGGCAAGAGCTTTGCTTTTGCGCATGGGACTGTGGGGGTTGTGGGCCAGGGCCGTGACCCCGAAGCCCGGTAGTGGTGCAGTTTCCACTGTCCCGCTTCGCTCCTTCCCTCCCTGTTCTCCCTCCCTCCCTCCCTCCCTCCCTCCCTCCCTCTCGCGCTTTCGCTTTCTCGATCTCTCTGTTAAAGGACATGAGCCCAAGAATGCACCCAATGAACATGATGCATTTGTGAATGCTCTGATGCTGAACTGCGTTGGCTCAAGCTTGGACAGAACGGCTTGACGTCACAAAGGAGTGTTTGCTCGACCGTGTACGTGGGGAAAGGGCTGATCTTGGTTTCTCTGCTTAGTGTAGATTGTATAGTGGAATTTTGTATGGTAGCGGCGCTTCGGTTCCTAGGCAGGGAACGAGTGTAAAAGAATGGACTTCGGAGTCAGCCGTGTATCATCTAGAACTGGAGAGGTGGGAAGACTGGTCATGGAAGCTGAAGCGATATGTACATTGTACAATCCAGCTGCGAAAATGATGATGGACGGTGTGCAAATTAGGAGTCAGAATAACCAAGGGTCATTGTTCTCTACACAGTTGGCTTACATGCTCGCGCACATCACTGATGGTGCGGCTACAGCTATTGTTCGAGATGAGGACACGGAGAATGGATTCGAGATTTGGCGTCGATTGCACAAGCAGTTCTCACTGCCTGTCACTGCCTGAGATATGACAGCTCTGAATCTTCCGAATGAGATCATTGGGTTTCGTATGAGAAATGACCATTTGGAGAGTGAATTCATGATCTTGAAGAACAGACATGAGAAGACGACCGGAAGGCCCTTGGACTATGATCTCTCGATTACGATGTAAACGCAGAAGACTGTTGGTCCATTGCAGCAACACCTGCGGTTGAATGTTCGTCGTATCAACAGGTTTATTGAAGCCCTGCAGATTGTGCACAGATACATCCAGAGCAGGCACGTGACTGTGCCGAATGGTAGAGTTTACCACCAGGGACAAGCCGACATGGAGACTGGAGAGTCGAAAGGAAAAGGAGGACAATGGAAAGGCAAAGGACACGAAGGAGGTAAAGGAATGTGCAAACGAAAAGGAAAAGGCTACAAAGGCAAATGAACGCACAAGGGCAACGCTAAAGGCAAGAGCAAACGATACAGAGGCAAAGGACAAGGACAAGGAATGAAAGGAAGAGGCAAAGGAGAGGGACGCTTCTCGTGTAGTAATCCGAATCACGGGAGTCAGGAATGCCCGAAAGGAAAAGGTAAAATGGCAGCGGTGACTGATGATGAGAATCAGCGCGGAAATGGACATTAGTGGAATGATGACTGGAGTCAATGGAATCCGGAGAGATTGGTCTCATGATAACTGGTCCCGGGATAGCGACTGGAATTCTGAGTGGATTGGTTCTCCTGACGGACCGACGGACGAGTGATTGGTCCTGGTACGATGGCGACTGGCGCAACTGCCTGAGGAGTGGTCCTGGAATACTCAGGATTGGTGGAGCCAGGATGGGCAGTAGAGCGCGAATGGTGCCGCGAGCTCGAGTGCTAATGTCCCTCAGGACACCGCCAAGAATGAATCACCACCGAACGTTTCCGCAGGGGCTGTCGAACCGTCGGATCAGAGTGCGCACAGAGTTGCGAAGACTGTCCGTGGTGCAAAGCCTGGCGTGATGACGAATGCTTGTTGATTGGGGCACTGAGTTCTGGAGTGCCACCGATACCGAGTCCAAGGGTGTCGAATCTGGCGAATCTTCCCGAACGTGGTCCGATTGGTTGTGATGACAGCTTGGTTGAGTTTCACATGCCAGCTGGATTGGTTGACAAGACTTGGATACTGTTCGACAGTGGTGCTTGCGCAAATGTTGTCCGCAATGGTTTGTGCCGGAATATCTGGTGTTGCCGTTGAGTGGAAGTTCCCGGTCACTGCGACGTTTGTCCGGGAAGACACTGGATGTGCAAGGTCGGAAGATTGTGCAGCTTGACTGCCGCAATCGCCACCCCTTGAGTGTACAGTTTTATGTGTGCACTGGCATACCGTTTCCGCTGGTCAGCGTTGCGCGATTGTTGTTGCAGGACTTCTGGACGGTGATGGCGAAAGACTAATTGACTAACTTGCCTTGAATGATCCGATTGGCAATCCTGTGCTGATTGTGCGACAAGGCACGTGTACTTGACGCCGACTGTGACACCGACTGTTTTTCCACATGCCGTGGCAATTTCGGCGAGATTGGCAGAGAGCTTGGCGCCTGGCAACTTGAGTGGGGTGTCGCATGATTGCTCGATCGACCACCTCTTGGTGCCTCGATTGCGGCAGCCCAGGGAATGAAAACATCCGATGGTTCCCGTTGAGACACCTGCGATGTGAATGAACGTGAGCTGAAGCTGATTCGCCATGTGAGAAACTCGAGAATGAATGGGCAAAGAGTGACATGAGACTGGAGTGCCAACCTTAGCGTTTTGCTAACGACGTGTTAGCCAAAATCTACGTAGGTGCAGTGCAGTGGGCCCTCTTGGGGTCGTAGCGCGAACTGCGCCAAGCCGGACACACCGCCCCGAAAACCGGTGCCGGAGGTGCGCATTTTTGCGCCCGCCCCAGGCTACAGCCCGGTGGGCACAGGTGCGTCGAATGATCGGAAGTGTGGCACGGGCAGGAACTCAGAAGACTCAAAAAGTGGCGGTCGGGCCGAAAGCTAGTTGGCCGACCGGTTACACTTGTTCCTGCTCGCACACGTGCACTACATTCGCCAAACATGCACAGTGCTCCACCGTAGTCACGGTTCCACCGACGGTTGTAGGCAGTCTCGGCGTCAGTGCCAATCAAATGACAATTTATCAACCATTGCACATGCTTCACAGCTCATGTGAACACATTTGCGATTGCGAGTTCAGCTTCAAGCCAGTGGATTCAAGTTGGGCGAGCAATGTTTCTTCAGTTGGCCTTATTGGGTTCTTTGGGCATTCTCAGCATTGCCTTGGCTTTGGGAGTGTCCAGTCGGGGCTGCGCGCATTGACAATCCTGCGATGGTCTTGCACAGGACATGCGCCAGTGTGTTCAGTGGCACTTCCTGGTCATACTGCATCCCGAAAGACCTCCCAATCGCAAAAGCAAATTCTTCAACTCTGCCACCGTACTTTCCAACACTGCCTTTCGACGGCACCGCTACAGCCATTGAATATCCAATCTGGAAATCGGCGGCACTGAACACCGTCCTCTTCAGTAGGTCATTCTCCGTCGCCATAAACGAGGAGTCAATCTGAATCGTTGGATGTCTGTCCTTTTTCTTCACTGCATGACTTTGTCGTTTTTTCGAAGCACGCAGTGTTCGCACCAATCCCGGTATGGCAAGTGGTGAGTTAGTCCGTGCAGTCGCCGTTCACTTCCAGATGGTTCGCCAGGAACCTTGAGCGTTTTCGGCTTCAATGCGCATTTGTCCTAGCATTAGGGCGATCAAGCAGCACAAACAATGCATGTCCAATCCACTTCTGGCAAGTGAGACTCCTAGGGTCCTCACATTTCTCCACCGCACCATCGGGCATCTCGGTGGAGCCCATTCGTTCCGATGGCCACTATCGATCATTTCCCGGTTTCTTCATTCGAAGAACATTGTGTACCTGGCACCCCAGGGACAATCACTTAGCAACCCATCAACAGGAGATTTGGCATCATCAGGATGAAAATAACAGTTTCGCGATTCATGGTGCAATCTTATCCTATATCGCGGAAGGAAATGGCAACGATCTGCAGTCCCAGTCGGCCGAATAGCTGTCGGCTCGACCGCCACTCTCGGGTTCCCGCCAACGCCACCTTCCGATCATTCGACGTTTCCCACCGGGTGATAGCCTGGGGCGGGCGCAGACGTGCGAACTGCACCGACATCGGGGCGGTGTGTTCGGCCGGGCGCAGTTTGTGCTACGACCAAAAGAGAGCCAAGGCACCCAAGTAGATTTTTGCTAACACGTCGTTAGCAGAACGCTTGTTTGCGGATGTTGGCCGTAACCGGAAGACATGCCTTTCAAAATCTTTTTCTCTGCAACCAGTCACAGACGCCAAGCTCATTACCGGAAGCATCATTGGTCTCGTGGTAGAACACATCGCTGCCATCGATGCGACCCGCGTTGCGCTAACAAGGGCCATGTTGTGTCCATCGCCACGTCATTATGCGCGGTCGAGACAATGCCGAGGTCAATTCCACTTACTTGACTTTTGTTGTCTTCCGGGTCGCCTTCTCTTCTCTCGCGGTCTCTTTGTTTGCGTCCGACCAGTCATGGATCAACATGTCTGTTTTTACGGATAATCGATAGGTCCTGCTTTGCACCCTTGGCCTCTTGGCAGGTTGGCTCGACCAAATGGTTGGGCAAAGCGCTTGCATTGTTTGCAAGGGACATTGGCTGTGGTGGGTTGGCTGTGAGCTCATAAAACCATCTGGCAATGCATGTCAAGGCAACAAGATGAAAGCGAAGGGTCTCCAGAAGCGGCTTGCTCGAGCGCCCGTCCCAATGCTTCGGCTTCCGAGTGAAGTCTTGCTAAGGCTCCGGTGGTATTGCCAAATGTGTCAGAAGCAGTGTCGAGATGAGAATGGCTTCAAGTGCCACCGCATGTCTGCCAGATGCCAAGCATCATGCCCTTGAGCCCACCCCTGCTGTGCTAACATTGCTTGGAATCGAGTTCAGGACGGGCACCAACGTCAAATGCAGCTCTTTGTCCAGGATCCGAACCGATTCATGGACGAGTTCTCCCAGGACTATTTTTGCGTGTTTACCGAACTCGAGTCTGGAGCCAAAACCTCACACGTCGGAGGAGTTTGAGAGAGGCTTCATGCAGCTGATGAGCACGTTCCTCTGTATGATGAGGGCCATGTGGCCTGTTGAAAGGATAGGTGATTGGTATGTCCGGCAGGTCATTTGCGGGGATGCTTGTGTGAAGAAGTTCTAACAAATCATCCCACTTGCGCATCATGTCTGGCTTGGAGACCAGCGTGATTGCTTGCGAGATCTGTCCGGTTCTGTGCTGTTTTCGACGACTTCGGAAACGGCATTGCCCTCCGGCTGCTGGCATCGTCTGAGGCTCCGTTGGACCGTACAATCCGATCGACGAAACTTGTTGGGCCAGTGTGCTTGCCGGTGTGCCCCGAAGCGCGAGCGCCAACGCCTCGATATTTGGGACAAGTAGGCGTGGCCTGCATGCCAGGGGGCCATTCGACTTTAACGGCTTAGACCTTTTGGGACCCAACCAAGCGTGCATTAAGTGCAAACTCCATATCATTGCCACAACCATGACGACTCAGACTCGGGTCTGATCGTATCGCCATGCTAGACCTCGGTGCCCCAGCGAAACCTGAGGTTTTTTAAACGGCAGCAAGATGGGAGCCTGTTTGATGGCAACGTTGCATGCTCGTGCCCCATCACGCAAGCCTCTTCGTGCTGAAAAGGCTGCACCGGCATGTCGACAGAGCCGTGGCTGTGGCTTGTGGCTGCCACCACGTGTGCGTTGAAGAAGAATTGCCGTGGTCGGGGAGGCTCTCTTAAGTCCTTTCGGAAGTCCAGCACCTCTGGACCGAAAGATGGTGGGAACTGCTGGCTCCGACTTGTCTAGACCAGTGAGTCGACACCTACTCAGACGGATGGTTTGCATCGTTTGCTCAGGCCACAGCTACAGGTCGCAAAGAGTTGGCTGCTTACTTCATGCTCCCACCAGCAACGCTGTTGCATGATTCGTTGACCTTTGCCGCCGTGGACACGCACGGCAGGTTCTTGCCAACACGGTCTACTGCCGGATGCTTGGGGTTTGGAAAAAAGATCTTTGGCTGAGCCTTTGTTGATCGCAGCCTTGCTTGGCCCGAGCGTGTAGAAGATTTTCAGCTGACGTGTCCGAAGCACCATGGAGGCATCTTTGGTGCAAGATGTTAATGCAGCGAGTGCATGGAGTGGTCGTTGTGCTTCGGGTTGTGGTCCTGGTTGTCGTTTATGCTGTTGTGGTTGGGGATGGAGCTGAAAACGAAGTGAGGATCAAGAAACAAGCTAAGCCTCGCTGTTGGCGAGCAAGCAAGGAGGGAAGGAATCACACAAGGAAGGACACCAGGGAGAGAAGAAATGACGGAAGGCAGGAAGGAAGCGTCAAGCAAGGAGGGAAGGAAGAAAGGAAGAAACGGCGAAAGAAGAAGGGTCCACAGAGCATGCCGCGCTGCATTCCATCTTCAACGATACTTGTGCCGTCGACTTCCTTATCTTCGAATGCTTCAGCGCCGATTCGATTGGACATCATTGCTCGACTGGCTTACCTTCTGGCTGCCGGGCTGGTGAGTGTGGCAGTCGTAATTGTTGTCATCCAGGAGGCACAATAAAGATGGCTGCTGTGTTTCTGGCTCAGGGTTTGGGCGGGGCCTTCATGACATGGCATAAACGCATACGAAAATGCCGGCAGCGGTGAAAGTTGGTGCGCCGGCAATGTGTAGCGACCTCTCTCCTTGTCTTGAAAAACCTTGTCGCACACTCTCAGCTTCGTGTGTCCGACGGCTTCAATCATCCATCTTTTCCGGGCGACTGCGAGGCTGCAAAATGCCGGCCTCGATGAAAATTAGTATGGGCGAAGTCGAAGAACGGAATCGCAAGCTTGAAGGGAGTGTGGTTCTATGTCTACCGATTCAAGCGGCAATGGGTTCAGACGGATGTGCGCGCTGCTGTGGTCAGGCCTCTGCATCAATTGCAGGACCTGACAAAGTTTCGCAACGAGCCCCCTCAAAAACCATGCTGTCGCATCTTCTTTTGACATGTCCTGCTATGAAACATGTGTTGTTTCGCGTTCTCACCCCGTGCATCGGCAAGCTACATATGTACACAACCAACGCGCACTCCAGGTGCCGTTGCCTATTTATAGTATGTATGTATGTGTACTAGCAGATAAGTAAGTACATTATTTTGTTGTGTGTGTAAGGCGGCGAGCAATAGAGTGGGTTCCGCTTGGCCGCAAGGCTGTGAAAGGACGTGTGAGCACGGGCACTTATCTCAAGCTGATGAGTGCTTTGGACGGATGCTGCGTCGGACCGCTAGCGCAACTCGGCACAGACTCCTTCAGATTTGTTGCTTGCCTCCGCTCCCAATAGAGCAAGGAAGCTCTGGACATGCCCTCCTCGCACCGTGGAAGCTCGGATGCACAATCAGGGATCGAGAGCGTGCACTGCGGGACTTTGCAACGTTGTCAGCAGCATCGCAGGTTTCGCAACTTCAAAAGTTGAAAAGCGATTGCTGTCATGAGGTCAGGTGGGACGCTGCCAGCGGATACCCTACGTCCTCCCCGAACAACCGCTCGGTAGTCTTCGCAGGACGTCCGTCCTGATCCAACTGCTCTGGTGAGGCGGCCACGAGCATCGTGAGACACAGCTTCCGGGAAGACACTGATTTTCCTACTGCGTGATCTCCAGGATCATTTAACCCACCGCATCATGGCCACTTCGAGATCATCCGGTATCTATCAAAATCATTTTCTGAAGTGCTCCTTGGTCGGAGCCATGCCGATGACATCCACGGTTGGCACTCAGTGCTTGAGAAGTTGCTGAGCGCATGCTTAGGCATGTGGTAATCGGCATCAATCCAGCAAAGAGTCTCGCCCTTGAACTGGGCACTTCCTTTCTGCAGAGGCTAGGGAAGATTTTGTGAACTCACTCGAGCAAAGGACATACCCGGTCAGTCGAGGTCTAAGAACTTGCTCTGAGCTTGCCATGTTCACATGCACGCATGCACGACGGCTGTGGTCAATCCGAACTCCTGATGCAAAAAGGTCCCGATGAGCGCAAGGCAATTATCGAGCAGGCTCTTCCGTCCATGGGAGCGCAGAATGTCAAGGTCGCTTGCTTGGAATGGATCAGCGTGACAGACGGTCTTTTGAGTCTACTGTCTCCGAGGTGTGGGTGTGGGGCGATGCTGCTTGGCCGCATACAGCAAGCCCAGACCCAAAAAGCATCAAATGTAGCACTCCAGTTCAAATGCTACGAGGTCATCTTCAAGTTGGCGAAAAAGATCGGTGCAACTGCAATGTCAGTCTTTAGCAATTATGAAGCCTGTGGCGCATCTGTTTGTGTGTTGATGGGTTTCCTTTCGTGCGCTGTGTTCTGTGATATTCTGTGCCAACGCTTAGGTATCGTGGCATTCGCAGCTGGCAAGAAGACGGGAAGGCGGAAAGGTACTTGGAGGTGGCTTTGTGCCGTGATCTCTAGCAGTTGCCGAGTGAGTGGCTTCGGTTCACATAAGCTTGAAGCACGTGCGGCATGTGGCAGGTTCAGAACGTTTGCTGGCCAGTCTTGTCAACTTGCGCTTCCCCTATGGGCCTTTTGGACTGGATGCGGTGGAGCTAACTTTCGCTTGAGGCACCAGTTGTGTTTCACTGCCGACGTGTAACCAGGCACATACTTCGTGGAAGGGCCGCCGCAGTACTCCTTCGTGAGCTCTACGCTCTTGCGGGAGCGTCTGAAATCTGGCCAGAGCATAGCCGACATTGTTCCGGCATCTTGGCGCACTTCTCAGGCGATGCTGTGAACTCGCTGCCACTTGTCCCGTGCAAGGCAGTGGTGGCTGACAAAGTCCGTGCAGCTTACGAAGGCAAGCTGTGAGCATCTGCGAGTGTAAGCAGGACGGCTGAACCATGGATGACCATTGGAATGGGTACTGGATGATACTGGATGGATTGGCCCACGAGCTCCGTGCTGTGCTGCAGATCGAGACGGTGAAGCACGTTGCAGTTCGAGCCGAGACCTGTATTATGGCACCCACTGTTGTGTGGCACGAGAGCTGGTGCCGAGAAGGGACGCGGACGACGTTGAGAGAACGAGGTAAAATGTCGCTTTGCTCTCGGCTGTAAATAAAGAGCTTCGTGTACTTCAATGCAGTCTCTGGGCTCAGGTGATTTTATTTCCAACCGGCACCACACGCACATGAACTCCACCATCTGGGTACGCCTAACTTGCGAGATGGATGGTTTGCAACGCGTCCTGAGTGTGATTCCGAACCTATGCGTGGCTGATGCTTTTGGCCAGGTCACCCTCAGCAACTTCGTCCAGTACCTGGGAAGGACGAACCAGTGCACCATCGACAAGACTCCAAAAGGCGCCAGAGTCCAAGTCCCCACAGACCTCGTGATGATGCGCTGGCCGCAAGGCTGGTACCTGCAGTTTGTGGATAACTCGCCCGAAGCCCGAATGCGAGCTGCAGCGGCCAAGGCCACGCAGGGTTTGTGTCAGGCTAAATTTGCCCCCCCTTGACTTTGGCCACTTTGGGCATTGCTGCGAACAGCTTCACGGACGCAGCAACAGGCGAAAGAGGAAGGTGAGGTTTCTTCAGAGCAAAGGCATGACGTTGCCCTGCACGCTGCCAAGTTTCTTGTCTTTGCCTGGTGTGCCACGCCACTCGGGTGTAGTGCTGGTACTCAGGAAGAAAGCCATAGCAGAGTGCAAGAAGGACTATCTCAAGTGGCTAGGGAAAAGATCAGATCAGATGAGCCGTCTTGTGATCCATGGCATTGTGCTTTTCACAGGATGGAGGCTTCCAGGAGTCAGAGTTCACGGAGCTCCAGCGTAAGGCATCTGGAACGTGAAGATGACCAGCGTGCGTGGAATGTGTCATGAAGTACCGTTATTACTGTAGCGCTTATATATTCCCTCTTGACACGACTTGGAGAAATCCCCGGCGTGCTTCCTGCTTCCACGGGTCAGTGCCGCACGTTAAATTAAAGCCTTTTGAACCTCCCCGAGTCTGCACTCAACTCCTCCCAGGCCAAGACAGAATCATCATCGGAACCTGAAACTGTTGATTGGCTGGTGCCGCCACGAGAGCACACAATCCCTGTCCCTTTCGGCGGCTCTGCGCCTCACCTCCGCTTCATGCTCTCTCGCCTCCCGGCGCTGTTTGTCCTTCTGGGTGTCCTCCGCTTGCTGCTGCATCTTCCTCTGCTCTGTCTCCTCATCGGCATTCGCCTGCCGCTGCAGCGCGTCGGCACGAGCCTCAGTGCCAGACTCCGAGCTTGAAGAGCAGCTGGGTCCACCAAACCATTTTCCTCCGAAGGGGCCAGCCCACCAACTCCGCCGGCGCCTCCACCTGTGCCACCTCCGGCACCGGCACCTCAGCCGCCGTTGATGCCACCTCCTCCGAGGCCTGGACGGTCGCACCCGTCTCCAATGCCGCCTCACCTCCCATCGCCGATGCCAAAACCGCTGTGACATTTTGCGGCTCCGTGCACACGGCCGCCCCGAGAATCAGGAGCAGCGACCAAACCATCCCAACGGCAGCGAAGCCAGACATGCTTCGACCATAAATATCCATGCCAACGGCAGGGGACGTGAAGGCAAGCTGCTTACTGTGCTGTGCTGCTGTGCTGCGCTGCTGTGTTGCTGTTGTGTGCCCTTTGCTGCCCTTGTGAGCTGCCCATGTGAGCTGCATTCTTTGCCGAATCACGAGTCTTGAACAGCGGCGCGGACGAAAAAACATCAAGGTTAAGGTCAAGTGAAGGGGCTCTGCACTTGGCTCCACAGGCAGCTCCACACTCATGTCAGAACATGGCACACTAAATCCTGCAAAAACGGCATTCGCGCGCGAAAACAGGGTCACAAGCGACCTCGCCGGTGACCTCGACCTCGACCTCGACTGCGACCTCGACCTCGACCTCGACCTCGACCTCGACTGCGACCTCGACCTCGACCTCGACCTCGACTGCGACCTCGACCTCGACCTCGACTGCGACCAACCTGACTCTGAGCTTTGACACAGCTCAGCTAGGCAGGATAAGGCAGGCCAGAGTAGGTTGACCTCGAACCTAGAACTACTGTACCCCATTTCTTTTTCTGCGCGGCTTGGCATTCAGACGGTCCGGCTCAAGTCCCGCTTGAGTACACTCTAAAGCCGTGGGCTCGCACTTCACCGTCACTTGCAATGGCTGGGTGTAGACTACAAGTACCTTCAAGAAAAGACGTGTGGAACTTGCTGAAGCGTTCTTATCTTTCATGAATGATTGGGTGTTCATGCGGTCATGTTCACACAACGTCATGGAAGTGAACCCACAAGACCATCGGCCTGAAGTAGAATTTCCCTGGCAGGGACAGCCATGTTCTGCGAGCGTCTGCCATATAACTTTTGCATAGGGATGCCGCCCAAATGCTTCTTGCTTTTACATATCAGCGACTTGCAATCTGACGTCGCCAAGGTTATGTGGCCACCTCCAACATGCGACAAAACGTTTATCTCCAGCCTGAATGCACGCAGTGCCGGCCGTTGGCGTGTCAACGAGCAGAGAAGCTCAAACGAACAATGGGCGAAACGATACCCGTATGCAGTGCTTCACTCAAGACAAAGCGCCTGAGCAGGAATCATCTTTCTCACTGTTTCCCCAGATCACCAGAGGCGTAGTTTGCACAAACGACAGCACAAACTAAGGCACTGCGGCTGTACACTGCGGCACAACCCGTGCAGTGGCACACCATGTATCTAGTTCCAGTGACCTGCCAACAATTGGGTCAAGTCGTCCAGGAAGGTGACGCTCCGATTTCTTTCAACATGGCGCCGCGTCCCAAGAAGGTGAACTGGCCACAAGTTCAACGAATGTTGCAACGCTGGTGCAGGGCCGGATCGGCATCCTCGTCGTCGGCTCCGGCTAAACCTCCAGTGAAGGAGGTTTCAACCCCCGACGGGAGGGCTCCCTTGTGGCAAACTTCTTGCTTATGCCGTCTAGTCGCCTCTTGCGATGAAAGGTTTCAGAAGCTGCCGTCAAGAAGTGTGGACCTCACAACGGCAATGGTCGGCTGGGGGCGGAGGAAGAGGTTGCGTGGGTGCCTTCTGATTCAGATGCCAAGGAACGCTCTTGCACAAGCCTTTGAAACACATGAGACGACAAAAGAGGCGCAGGAGGGCAGCGCCAGACAATAACATGGAACGAAAGGTGGGGGCCAGGACCAGCGATCCTCCATTTTGGCCTGCAGGACACCAAGAAGCACAAGCTGAGCGCAGTGGAGCGCATCCGAATGGAACATGAAGAATCCAAAAGGTGCAACAGTATCGCTTTCGGAAGCTGTAAGTATGCAAAGTTGCTAGGCAGAAGCTGCAGCCCGCACCGGCGTCCCCTTCTGAAAGCTCTTCTTCAGGCCAAGTGTGCAGATCCGCAGTGCGCACGCAGTAGTGGGGCTTTGCGCTTGGGGACTAGTTCTGTCAGGGTCAGAACCTTGGCTAACAGAAGGCATCATCGTGAAGGCCCCTGAATGCCACCGGTGCAGACGAAGCGCCATCCAGCTCTGCAAAGATGAGCCTTCCAGGTGATGCATCAAGACCTAGCCGGTGGTAAATATTATCGCAAGAAGGGCAAGGTGCACTCTTTCTTGTGGTGGTTTGTTTTCGTGCGAATTTTGGATCGCGCGCAGGTGGAAAGAGTCCGCAAGCAGTTTACTGCTGACATCCGCATGGTCGAAAGCAGGCGTGCCTTAGTGGCTGCTCCCAAGCAGTAATCAGCGACTAGCAGCAATTGGCCAGGCTTCTTTTTCGATAGATGTTCTCGACTCATGGGGTACGATGCCATGCCATCACACACTTAGTAGTTATCTTCCCCAAAAAAGGAGCAGTTGTTGTTCTGACAACCTGCCTTCCTGCCGTCACATCAACCATTGTAAATATCTTCCTCCAGTGTAGGAGTTATATCAAGATAGCCGTGATCTTCCTTTGAAACAGCTGTCGGCACCTAGAACACACCAAAAGCGACAGTCATCTGTACGACCAAACCGAAAAACTCGCAAGAAGGACTGTCGTCAACGTCCAAAGCGACTGTTGTCTGCATGTAGATTCCTGTAAAGCTAGCAGTCAGTCCGTACGCTCAGTCCGCTTTCATATGAACAGGGCCTTCGCTTGCGGCCCATAGTTGATGCAGAGTTGTGAGCAACCTTGGAATCGTCACCACAAGCACCGGAATAAGCAAGCCAGAAGAATCACAACAGAGGGGTATGCTGCGGCGTTGGGGAGGTCCCAGGCAGGCTCAAGAGGCACCAGGAGCTTCAGATGGCACGCAAAGAATTATTTTTGTGAGCAGGAAGTTGTGGTCCATTTTCATGCTCCGGCATCAGGACTGACGGAAGGAACGTTCCTGCCGCAAAACCCTTGCAAAAATGGCAATTCTCAAGGATGCCTGGGAACCAACCAAAGTGTGGCAGCTCCATAGCCCACACACACACACACCTTGAAAAAGTCCACACGTACCCTTGACAAGTTGGCCATCAGGTCCGCCATGAGAAACTCAGCTCGGAGCATGGTTGGATCAGACTCTGTCAAAGTCCTGTGAGTCGTGCAGTTAACGAGAAGCAAGAGTACTTAACTCACCGGGGAAGACTCAGGCAAATTCAGTGCTTTGCTTTTGATAGGCATCAGTTATGTCGTTGTATTGGCTAGAGCTTTGTCGACAGGATAAATGAAGTTGCTCCACTTGGTTTTGGAAGAAGATTTGTTTTGGCGTTGAGGGGGCAAACAGGACTCTCCTCTGCAGGACAGCATGGGTTGTGTTTCCTGGATGCGGTCTTTTTTTGAAGAGGGTTTCGTTCAAGGCTTTATTAAGACAAGTGAAGGTAAGTGCCCTGGTTACCTTCAGGAATGTGTGTCACTGTGAAATCTGAAAGATATACATCTTGCTTTGGAGAAGGGTAGCCGTACTTGTGTTTCCAGGAGACGCGTTTTGCTTGCCCAAGATAATTGCTGCTTTAGTGCGTTGCCATCGGAGACCCGAAGGTGTGTGCCGCCCCATTGCCCCCCGTGCACAGGGACCTCATTCGCTTGGACCAGGAGATGCTGGAGTCGGGCGCTGATTGGGCAACCAGCGGAAGGTGTTTTCTTTCCTACTGTCATGCTTCAATGAAAAGGACCGTCATCCCCAACCTCGGCAAGCCAGTCATGGTGGTCCGGTCCCCTACTGCTGGTGGCTAGTGGTGAACTTGTCATCGGCTTCGCCCGAGGTGAAGGGCCAGTACAAGGGCAAGAAGGGAAACATGAGGACTCGAAGTTTCCTGGCCTCCTTGCATACGGCGCAGTGAGAGACCACCGCATCAGCAGGACAGTGGACCTGGAGGCTTTCTGTGTCGCGGTTCAGCTCGAGGACGGCAGTCTGCGGCTGCTTATGTCTCCACGCTTGGTCCGTAGCCAATTTCTGCGGCCGCAACGTAGGACGGCCGTGACGTCGAGGGTCTTCGGTACGACGAGGTCTACAGTCTACAGACCCTGACCATCCTGTTATTCTTGTCTCTTCGCGGCCTTCCCGAGGTCTGCAAAATTGAAGAAAGCTGACTTGCACTGTGGCGCAGGGCTGCCAGCTTCTTCAAGTCTCACCATGGACATGGACAATGTCCATTTAGATCAAAAAGTGGTCTTTGCTGCAGAGGAACCGGTCAGCACATGTGAGCTTGAGCGGGTGTCAACGTGTAGCGGAGCTGGAATCTGGCGTGTAGGCCTGTCGAATCGCTGCTGCAGCTTCGGCTTCATGTCGTCTGGTCGACAGTAGGGACCAGTGCTGAAGATGGGCGATGAATTCTTTGCGGGAAAGGCAGGTCCAGCGGTGACCTCTGCAGCTGCTGCTGCTGCAGCGAATGCAGCCAGAAGTACAAACATGATACCAGGGCCACCACAAGCCCTGAACTTGAGCGATGTCCACTCTCCCATGAAGGTCCCTGTCCCCGATGCCAAGAAAAAGGGTAGTGGTCGGGGTGGCAGGACTCCTCAGAGGAAGGCAGCCCCGCATGCACCGCCCACACAAGACTTCGACCCCGCGGCCCTGACAGCGTTTGGTTCGTACCCGCCTTATGGAATGGCCCCGAGCCCATATCCACCGGCTGCCGTTGCGGGCCCTTGCCCGATCCCTCCACCACCCATGCCTATGTACCCCATGATGCCCTTCATGTACCCAGCGATGTACCCAGGTATGGCCGGCGCGCAGCCTCCAATGCCCACGGCAGACTCCCAAAAGGGTCGAGGTAAGCAAGGCAAGCAACAGAAGGATACAAAGGATAAGAAGCGTCGTGGAAAAGGCAACAAGGGCGGCCGGCAAGAGCCTAGCCCTCCGCAAATGGAGGGCTCGGACTTAAACTGCAGTCCGGAACTCTTGATGGTCAGAAATGCCCAGGGAAATTCCGCTAAGACCAAGGTTACCTTGCAGGAGGCACTGCCAAACCTCCTCGAGTTTGCACAAGATCAGCACGGGAGCCGTTTTCTGCAGAACAAACTTGACGAAGCCAGTCCAGAGGATAGTTCCGTGCCAGCAAGCAGAAATTAACGGCCAGCTGCACACATGAGCTGTCAGTGTGCTGGCAAGTATACGGGTAGAGCAACGGGAGCCTGCCCAGGACAGTTGGTGTTCACCGGAATATGTGCAGAAGATGCTGATCCGGATGCTGCATCACTGGCCAAAGATGTCAGTGGTAACTTCGTGGTGCAGAAGCTCTTTGATGTAGGCAGGTGCTTTGTCACAGCCTCATGTAAAACCATGCTGCATCCATTCATTGCGATGGACGTGGAGAAGGAAGGAAACAGACAGCAGCCTGAGTCGCGAGACCCTTTTGCCGAAATTCCTTGCCAGCTTCGTGCTGCGCTCAACTCCTGCTAGGCGATCCAGACCAGAAGAAACTTCTTTGCGAGAAGCTGCAGCCTGAAATTCCAAGTCTATCGAAAGACAATTACGGCTGCCGAGTGGTGCAGAAGGCTGGGTGGGAGGGGGGGGGCCATTGCTGGGTTAAAATTGGCAGACTCTGTGGTGGCTTGGAGGCGATCGGGGCCGTGTCCAAGGACTTGCAGGTGTTCTTGGCTTCGTCACTGCAAAACAATGTTGCGGACTGCATCGTCAACATGCAGCCTGAGCTGACCAGTCGGGCCATGTCGATGAGCTGATGGGCTTTCGGGGTTGTCCCTGAAAAAGCAATCCTCAACTTGACTGCCTGCTAAGGCACGGAAACCATGTGATTCAAAAGTGCATTGAACAGATGCCACCTGATTCCGTCAGCTTCATCATCCACGCTGTCCGAGACCAAGCCCGCTTCTAACATGGCGGAAGGATTTGATCTGCTGACAAGCGAGGTGGAGCATGACATCACGCACCTCGGCTTAAAAGCCTTGCCCCAATCCCTGCACCTCGGCTTCGGGGCTTCGTCAGGAGCCTGGCCTCGCATATATACGGCTGCCGAGTCATCCAGCGTCTCCTAGAGCACTGTGGAGCCGCCCAGCTCACGGACCGGCGGCTTTGCGTCGAGCATCGTCGAGCAGCCCGTCAGCCCAGCCAGCCCAGCTCCGAAACTCTGTCGCCAGGAGATGCTGGAGCGAATCCTCGTGAATGTTCAGGCCCTGGCAAAGAACCAGCCACGAGACTGCACATGGCAGCAGTCGTGCTTAGGCTCCTATCTAGGCCAGGTGCTGAAAGCGATATGAACGGTGTTCGGAACACTCTGTTGCACGGACGTGTGGCGCGGTGATGGTGGGCTCATGTTGCGGCTTAGTGTTGCATTCGCCTGTGGCCTTCCCGCTTCGATGAATGATGCCCTAGAGTCTCCAAGAGATTTTTCCTCTCAAGCCTGCCTGACCTTCGGAAGCCTCGCCGAGTTGCGAGAGTCTCAGCAGAATTGAGGTTTGGAAACTATGTGGTCCCTTGGCTCACCAAGCCTTCTGGATTCTAGACTCGCTAGTTCGAGCGCGCGCTTGAAAGTCTCAAGTCTTTCGGCTTGGAGGTGCAGCACATGCTGGAGCATGGGCGACTTCAGGACAAAGAGGCGATCATTGACATAGTGAAGGGAAATATCATGGAGTTTTCCATGGATAAGCATTCGAGCTACGGCCTCAGCAAAGAAACGAATCCATCCGAAGCGTGGCATTCGGTGCGAACTGAGGCAATGTTGTGCCTTGCCAGAACTTGGTCGACTTTCTTGTCCTGCCGGGCAGAGTGCCACCGTGCAGGTGGAGAAATGCTTTGAGATCGCTACTATTGGAGAGCATGCCTCCCAGCTGGAAGCGAAGAGGGCCCAGCTCATTGATGCAGTGCTTGGTGTCGGAGACACAACCAGCCACTAAGATGCATTACTTTTATCAGCAGCAGAAGCTCTGATGTCCAAGCGATTTGTTTCGGAGTCCAGATCCATCAGCCGGATTTCATAGGTCCCCTGTGCGAGATGATGACCCATCGGTGCTCCTGCGATACATTGACATCCGAGAGTGAAGAGACCTCGTTGGAAGGCAGTGAGTCTTTCTTGGGCCATGTCTGGTCCCACTCAGTTGCAGGTACGGAAACTATGTCGTGCAACGAATGATGGAACACAGCCGTGGAACAGAGAGAGAGCGCATCTTCAGAACCTTGAATGCGCTTCCTATGGATTATCGGTGTGATTCTCAGATTCGGGGGTGGCTGCGCCTCGGTTGCTCGGCTTGCGATGACGGAGGTCCAATCAGCATGGAATGCACATCATGAACGCCCTGCAAAAGGCTCTGGTCTCATCGAACTAGCAGTATGTCGTGTTCGTGACGTCACCTGCCAGGGATTCAGGGAGTTCACGCCGGATCAAGCCAGTGGCAGCTAACTGCTGGAGAGATTGAACATTTCTGGGAATCTTGACTGACAACCACTTTTCATGGCTTTATTTGATTACTCGAACGTGCCTACAGCTTTGAGTTGATTTCGGCACTGTGTGCGCCACGCTGCTTGCTGAGGCACCCTCGAGCTTGCAACTGCCTTTGGTGTACAGTACCTACTCGTACTACAGACAGCGGTTGGGATCAGGCAGCGCGATACTTCGCACTGGGCCAGGGGCCGTGCAATCAGTTAGGAGACCGAATTTTGTGGAGGGATGGTTTCGATTCCGGAAGATCATTTTGCTGGACCACGAATCGAAATTGAGTTTGCCGAAGGAGCATCCCGCCAGATTTTTCAACCACACGTAGAGCCCGTGTTTCCAGCGCAAGGCGCCTTTAGCAGTGAGTGCTAGGCTGCACCCAACAAGCCTGCACAAGACAAGCTGTGTGTGCGTGAAAAGCTCGCCCGTATGTCGGGCGGCGGCGGCGGGCCATGGAGTGAGGACAGCAACTTACATCAGATTCCAAGCTGTCCGCTTTGTTTTCTCAGCCCGAAGCCGTGGCAAAAAAACTCGTGCCGTAGACATCCAAAGCCCAAATCCATGTGTAGATGTTGGAGGCTGTGCATGCCACGATGTTTGCCCGGCGAGCGAGTCCAAAATGAATGGCGAGGGCAGCCCGCATAGTCGTGCAGGGTTGCAGCTTTGCAAACTGGCTGTGCGCAGTGATCTGGCTCCAGCTTGCGGCAGTAGAGGAACGACAGGCGCAGCCAACGAGCATGCTCGTAAATCTCCCATCTAATCTTAGCTCCGTGCATGTTCCGGTCCCGTGACACCCAAGATGCCAAAGCCTGGTCTCCATGAAGGACAATCTCCAGCTTGTATGCCCAGGCCACCAGCTTCAAGTGCAGGTTCAAGGTCCAAAGCCGATGTACTGTGTGTGATCTTCTCTCAAAGGTAGCATGTTCGGAGGGCTGTTGCGGGCCCTTCTCCGACCAAGGGCCGAAAAAAAGAAGCACATTGGTGGTCATCACGCTTTGCTTCTACACCGCTGCCGGTGAAGGAGCAACATTTTTGAGCACTTACCCTGCACGTGCCACTGTTTGGAAGCCGTGCCAGCTTTTCATGATAGGAATCATGGCAGTAACTTGGCTGCAGAGCTTCTGTTTCCCGAAAACACGACGTCACGACCCCGCCCTTGGCAGGCTTCTGCCTGCGAAAGTCTGCAACGATTGGAAAAGGCTGAGCAGATCAGTGCTTGTGCGGAGGAGCCTGCAGATGCTAGCTGAAATCCCATATTTATGCTGGCGTTCGTTTTCTTTGATGACAGAAGGGCATGTGCTGCGCTTTGACTCAAACAGTCTTTTGGCATTTGCGAGCCTGGTCGAAGGAGATTTTCATGTTGAAGGCAAACATCAGCCAAAGCCAGGAAAAGAGACATGGTTGCAGATGATTGTGCAGTGATGTCATTTGTCGTCAGCCTTGCAGATCGTTCCAGTTTCGTTTTTGACATGAGTTGCCTTGCTGCTCGAATGCTGTTATCATTTATCAGGTCGTTGCGGGACACCCTGGATGTGCTGCAGGAACAGAGGTATAGAGGAGCAAAGAGTGATTTGGCAACCTCTTGTGGCAGGACTTTTCAAAGTTGGGTTTGCAAGCCCTGCAAGAGTCGACCCGCGCGGGATGTGAGGCTTTGACAGCCTCGCAGCATGGGCTGTCTGTTTGCACGAATCGAGCGTTTCCTTCACCAGGCCCTGTACGCCCTCGCACTCGATTGGGTCTCGGCTTCACTCTATGAGATCTGGATATGCAGTCGGCCAGATTTCTGACTGCAATCACTTTTGGGTCCTTGCATGGCCTGCGTCTGCGTCTGGAGATATCTGGGGCTAAGGACAAATCTGCGGAGCTCTGCGTCTCTTGGATGCATCAAGCAGAGCTCCGTCTTCACTTCTTGTTT